CAGATGTTCTGTTTCCCTCGACTCTTCCCTCTGTTTGCGTGCGCCGTGCGCGTGAGTAGAAGCGCGACGGAGAGCGCTCAGGCGTGGGCGGGGGAGCGGATGGATGGGTTATTTATGGCCAAGTGACTTATTGAATTAAGTAGCGTTATGTTCTGCAGCGATATGAGATACGGCCTTCGCTACCGGATGGGGGATGGAAAAGGGAAGGGGTTCCGGATGAGGGCTGGAGACTGTGTCATATGGTGCACATGGCGGCTACGGGCTGCCAGAAAACGTTCGTGCTTAGTTAAACCTACGTCCGTTTTGGACCATTTTTGTGCTCAAATTTGTATGATTTCGCACAAATGAAAGACACAAAAGTGTTCAAGTCAAGGAAGAAATGTATGGAAAAAAATCGATCGCTTGGATTTTGTACAATTAAAAGGAAGGCTACAAATCCAGTTCGGGTGTTGCCGACGGAGTGCAAACCAAAGCGGAGGTACCACACTGCAGCGCGGCCAGCGTGAGCGAGCCCCATAGCTCTACCTTGTTTTTCGAACGGCGAGTTTGCTGTTTGGACTCACGCGCGCGCACTCAACGTTAGTTCAGCTCCTCCGGTAATGACCCCGCGTGGCTCGCCGCACCCCGCTCCCAGAGGGGCACTGCGCCTCGCACTGAGCACTGTAGCACTACACCAGTCCAAACTGGGTGTTTTCTTCCACCACCTACCCTCCATACTTTTTGTTATGTTTTGCTTCCTCCCACTGTTCACCCCAGAAAATGGTATCCTTGAAACAAAGTGAAAGTACATAAAGGCCTTTTAAAAAACACAAGATAATTACCTTTTCAAAAAGCAAAAATCGGTCAAGTAAAGAAATTGTCGTTAGATTCACAAAATGTCTTTGAAAACAATGCTTTCCAATAGGAATACCTTATACCAAAGATAAAAAAATTCCTTGTTTACTCTAAATGTCCAAGGACAATTTTTGTAACTAGCACCGGACTGCTGTGTGCATAACTAGCTCAGATACAATATTGTAACTATCAACACACATTAAGTGTGTAGCAAGTCACAATATTATATCTGAATTCAGTTATGCACGCAAAAGTCCGGCGCTACTTAAAAAAAAATTCCTTGTCATTTAGATTGTTCTTTTAAATTGTTTTTTAAAAAGTTCCTTGGATGAGAGCACTATATTTTGTGTGTCCGCTCGGCATCACAACCCAAACGTGTCCAGGTCGGTCCATGATCACCCTCTCCGCTCCGACCCCACGACTGAGGGGCGCGCTGCCATGGGCGGGCTACTCAGAGCCCCGAGCCTCGGCAAAGTTTTCCCTTCTCTCTCGTTCTCACTGTTGCAGCCCGTGTCATCGCTCTCGCCTTGTAGTCATGCCTAATCTCAGCGACATATATTCACAATCTCTCTCCGCCCTCTCTTTGTCTCTCTTATTTTGCCTAGGGATTCGTCTCACTTGCTCCAAACATGACAACGTGTGTCACACGGGCGCACATCATCATATCGCCAGACCTTTGTCATCCGTCATGTGCACATGTCCCGTTGCACGTCATGTGCATGTCGCATGCTCCCCCTGAGCTCCCAACAGCAGAGCACTCCTGATACAAATAATACACGGTCCTCTTGTTTCCGGTTCGATAGTCTTCAGGTTTTAGTTATCCCGCCAGTGAGCGACAGGCATGCGGCGCAGTTACTCGCTTTACTCGTCAAACTTTTCGAGGGAGCAGTCTGTAAGTGCGCGCGCGCGCACACACGCTCACACGCACATGCACACGCACGCTCATGCACACACACTCATACACGCACGCACACACACACACACACACACACACACACACACACACACACGTGTTATCGCGCGTGGAAGGGCTTAATTAGCTTCCCGCCGTGGAGCTTTCCGGAGCCATCATCTCGCTCTATTGGCGGGCGCATCCCCCACCACGCCCCGCCACGCCCCACCTCACCACACCCCACCACACCCCACCCCACCACACCACACCCCGCCACGCCACGCCACGCCACGCCACGCCACGCCCCGCCACGCGCTCGACATTTATTCGACTCATCCGCACGTCCTCGAGCCGGGCCCGGGCCGGGCCCCACGCGGGGCGGAGAGGGCCACGTCGACATAATGTTAAGCGCCCCTCTTTCCCACCACTCTCCACCACCCACCGCCAACCACTCTGCTCCCACCACGCCCTGCCCGCAATGCAAATGACATCCTCTTGACGTGGACCGGGGTGCACTCCCTATACGCCTCTCTCTCCCTGCTCTCTCCCTCTCCCTGCTCCCCTTCCCTGATACCTTTGCGGCTTTCTTCTTGTTCTGTCTCTTGACGCATCGCTTTTTTGTTGCTGTTTTGTTGTTTTTTTTGTTGTTTATTCACTTTTAAATATAATTGCATGCATGTCCCTTGATGTGAGGAGCAAGATGTTTTCGACACATTTCAACACTCTTCTCAGGAAACTCTAGTGTTGTACAGTATGACAGTTTAAACTGTCATACCAAAGTGAACTGCAGTTTAAACTGTCATACTATTTGTGGTCTACAGTTCAAACTGTCATACCATTTGTGTTCTACAGTTCTATGTGTAGGACACCGCGTGTCCAACAGCCACAAATGACGATTTTAACTGTCGGACACGTCGTGTACTACACTTATAACTGTACACCACAAATATGACAGTTTAAACTGTAGAACACGAATGGTATGACAGTTTAAACTGCAGTACAATTGGTATGACAGTTTAAACTGTCATGATGTACGACACTTGAGTTTCCAGTTCCAGAGTATAATAAAGTATAGACAAGGAATATGGAAAAGGTTTGATTAAAACGGGTGACGCAGGTCACATCTTATGATCTATAATCTGTCACTGGCAATCATAAACTTGAAGAAAAGAATAACACAGCCTCCTATAAACCCAGCGAAACCGACCCCTCTCTCAGGAACGATACCTGACACCTTCACCCTCCCAGCAACCTTACAGAGCCACGCACAAGCTGCGACACCCTACCGCCGCACCCACTTCCCCCCCGGTGCGGTGGCCGCTTTGAACCCACCCCCAGCACCGCCACCGTGTCTCTGCTTACCTACCAGATACCGCAACCTGCGCACCCACCTAACTACCCCCCATTGCTCAGCCCCTCAGCCCGAAACAACAGTGGCTGGTACCTTTCCTCTCCTTTCGCTCCCTCTCCTCCCGCTCCCTCTCCGCCCCTGACCCTTCTCCCTCCCTGTCCTCATCCCAGCACCAGCCGACGGGGGAACAGCGCCTTGAGACTGTTGTGTTCATTATTTCCTGCTCTCCGGTCAAGTGTGCTGAGAATGGCGCGGAGAAGAAAGCTCTCTCTCTCTCTCTCTCTCTCTCTCTCTCTCTCTCTCTCTCCTCTACCTACCCCTCTCTTTTCCGCGTGATGCACGCCCTCCTAGAGGAATGGGGAGGCGGAGGGGCAGCACGAGGGTCGCCTGCTTATTTAGCTTACCGTGTACTTGCAGCTCTGGCGCTTCCGCTGTCGTTGTGTGAGAGACCTCTCATTGTCTGCTGCCTAGTGAGCAGGAACTTATCCGGATTGCAGTATGGCTATGTGGACGGTTCCGTGGCCCCCGGCTTACTGTAGCGGTTGTGTCCCTGGCCCCAGACCTACTCCTACCCTCCTCTCACTGTAAGGAAATATCGTTGTAAATTTACATTTGTTTGTAAAATCGAATCAAAATTTAAGATGTAAATTTACGAGTGCACATTTTTTTTTTACTCGCCAATGCATTTGTAGTCGATACGTACTGCATTTATTTTTACGATTACAAATTAAAATTTAACAGCTTGCGTCAAGGAGAATTTTCCTGTAAACCTTACCACCATTTTTCACAATGCTCTCTGTTCCTGTGTGGCCGTCCCGCTGCAGAACCACCTTGGTTCCGTACCCCGGACCTTCGCGATCAACGTGGTTGGCTTAGCGCGGCCACAGCAGCAGCGGGGCCCAGGGCGGCCCAGGGCCACCGGAGAGACAGAGAAGGGGGCAAGGGGATTAGAGTTATGAGAAGGCGGGTGGGACGGGGTGGGGGGTAAGGGATTTGCAGGGCACGGGGCCAGCGTGCCGGTCGAAGTGGTGGGGGGTGGTGGCTGCGCAGGCTGCGACGCTCAGGCGTCTCCGCGCCGCTGCCGCCGCCGCTGTGAGGCAGTAGCACGGTGGTGATCGACCGCCCGCCGCCGCCTCCG